GTGTCCCAGGTAATATTCTGGGGACAAAAACAAAGTTGCTGGAAAAGTTCAGCAGGTCTGGCAGCATCTGTGAAGGAGAAAACAGAGCTAACGTTTCGGGTCTGGTGACCCTTCCTCAGAACTTCTGGGGACCTTGGTTCGAATCTCGCCATGGTAGATGGTCGAATTTGAATTCAATAATAATCTGGAATTAAGAGTCCAATGGTGACCACGAAACCATTCCTGATTGTCATGAAAAAAAACCCATCTGGTTCACTAATACCCTTTCGGGAAGGAAATCTGTGACCCTTACCTGGTCTGGCCTACGTGTGATTCCAGACCTAAGGCAATGTGGTTGACTCTTGACTGCCCTGCAATTAGGGATGGGCAATAAATGCTGCTCTAACTAGCAACGCCCACATCCCATGAATGAGCAAGAATTTTTAAAAAGTATCTCCTTACAATCTGTTCGGCACTCGTCCCTCAATCTCTCTCTAAAAGAAACCAGGACGAAACACATCACTTCAAGCCATAGCATCATCACAACAGATAATGAAAGATGAATCGGGTGTGATATTTGTCCCATCTGGAAGCATACCCTCCGTTTCTTACGTTCTGAAGCAATCGTAAAAGGAAGGCATTTATATGTCCACATTTCCAAAGTCACAGACTAAGAGAAAACGACTGCAGTCAGCATGCTGCATTTCTGCTATCTCTCAATTTGGCTACCGAATCCCCCCAATGTCATGGTAACTCAAATAAATCCTCTCCAGGACAAACACATCATAATTGCATCTGGTTAATGTGGCCCAGATCAAGAATTGAAACTCTAGAAGAGAACCCCTGACATGACTTTGTGCACAATGTCAGTCAGACCCCTTGGTTGAGAATATTTGCTTATGTTAAGTAGTCGCTAAATGGTTGCTATCAACTAGTCTGATACTTTTCGTATGTTATCTACGATATATAAGCAAAGTATTAGTATGTCAAACTTGTACTTTTAAACTCGATGTATTTGTTAATAATTAGTTGTGAATGTCAAAAAGCATGTTTCCTTCGCAAAGAGGGGAGTATTGGAAATCAATGTCACTTCAAAACTGCGTTTTAGTATTATTTACTATGTGGCATGAGATTCAATTTAACTGCTGTTACAACAGAAACTAACTTTGGATATTGTTAGCACATGAAATCAAAGGAAAAAAGGCACAATGATCATAAGAGTTACTGAGGTCCGGATGCCTGATTTGCCGCTGTAGGTATCATATTATCAATGTATCATCTGGTAAAATAATTTACTGTTGATAAATGAATGATAAACTCCTCTTTAGTGGGAACAGGCTGGTGACAATGGTCATCCCAGCATCATAAGTAGCTGTCTATGTCATTGACTTAAAGTTTTCAGATTAGTGATTGGTATAGTACAGATTTCCAGTTCACAAAATAGAATATATTGAGAGGTTTAGGTGGAAAGTGACTGTGAGAGAGGGAGACGTTACAGGGACAGGTGCAACACTTTCTTTGGTTCAGGCCAAAGATTTGAGGGAAGAATAAAGAATGTTCCCATTACAGCTTTACCAAAGATTGTGAAATATCAAGGATGAACACACCAGCACTCTAAATCATAATGGTTCTCAGGCATCTCATCTCCATTCTACAGAAAAGTTTCCAAGTATTTAAAACGTTCTTGTCTATGAGGGGTTGTATATTTCTTTTCTTCCTTGAATTAAGTTATATATCGAATCTAAAATGCTGCTTCACGATTAACACCATAAACCATCTGAAAATTGCACAGAAATGGTAGACTGGATACATTAGACATCTACCCTACCAAAGGCCAAATGGGCACCATCATCACAAATTTCATTGTTGGGAGTTGCAATGAAATTTAGTAATGATAACAAACTTTATTGTCTTGTGACTTCATATTGATGTCATATGTTTTCTTCTTGTCCATTTTCTCCTCATAAGTTTGGTTCTAAATGGAGAAAAAAAATATTTCAGCAAATTCACAATCTAACAAGAGAAATTGTTTCCTTCACAGCCAAAAAGACGTAGGGGCGCCCAATAATGAAAAACAGCAGAAAGATGCATTTAGAATCGATACCACCTCATCACGGATTCGTTTTTCAACACTTCACAGATCTTTGAATGAGATTGATTTAATCAAACAAACCTGGATGAAAATCCTGAAGTAATAGCACTGACGGTCCTTAAATAATTTCGTCTGGATTCAAGATAATTTATTTCTAAATTGCACTATCGTTAAATGTCAATGGTGAATTGCAAACAATTGAAGTTCGTTCAATAAAAATAAATGTAAAAATTGGGAATATGAGACAGCGCAAGAGGGGATTTTAATTGTGCACCATTAAATACAAGAGTCATCGGTATTGTAACTCCCTCAGAGCAGTTTTGCTTTAAGAAATGCCTGGTGCAATTATGGGTAAGGACTGTTTGTGTCGCTGTCTACCAATAGGAAAACCATACGCTGCAAGAGATCTACCCAGCCTCCTCCTTTAATACGAAAGACGGCGCAGAATCAAAGAGCAGGGCAAAGTCGCCCGCACCTAAACCATCCTGCGCTGAAAGGTCAGTTCGAGATTTATTGTTTTAACGTCGACATTTTTTCATCAGAAAATGTATTTCATTTCATTGAGAGCTAGATAAGCCGAAGAGATAGGACGGCATTTTGGCAGATTTGCAATTGGGTCTAATCCGGAACAATGGCGAAAAACCTCAGGCGGCTGGTCTATTTTGTGTTGCTGACTTGCGTCTCGGATTTAATTTGCGGTCGACTACAATACGTGATTCCCGAAGAAATGGAGCGCGGTGCTTTTGTTGGGAATATCGCGGAAGATTTAGGCCTAAGCATTGGAGAGATGTCATTTCGCAAATTTCGGCTCGTCTCTGACGACGGAAAGCAATCACTGAAGGTGAACATGGAGAATGGTATTCTAGTTGTGAACGAGAGAATTGACAGGGAAACTCGCTGTGGAAAAAGAGCGACTTGTTTTGTTTCTCAGGATGTAGCGGTAGAAAATCCATTGGAAATGTACCATGTCGACGTGGAAATATTGGATGTAAATGATAATTCGCCCACATTTCTCGAATTCAGATACACTTTACAGATATCTGAGTTAACTGGAGCAGGAGCTCTTTTTCCACTCGAGACTGCGCACGATGCGGATGTGGGTACAAATGCAGTAAATAGTTATGAAATCAGCACAAACAAGCACTTTGGTTTGAAGACTCACACCAGAAGCGATGGGAGTAAAATTGCAGAGTTGATGTTAGAAAACCCCTTAGACCGTGAGCAAGACGCAACTTTTCACCTGACGCTGACGGCCATTGACGGTGGAATTCCTCGAAAATCTGGTACTGCAGAAATAGTCATCACTGTACTAGACGTAAACGATAATGCCCCAGTATTTGATCATCAGTTGTACAGGGTTAACGCATTAGAAAGCTTACCTAAAGGTAGCTTGATCATAACGTTAAATGCTGTTGATTTAGACCAGGGAACAAATGGCGAAGTAAAGTACTATTTAACCAGCCACGTTTCTCATAGGGTGAGGGAGTTGTTCAGTTTAGACTCTGAAACTGGACATATCAGAGTTCAAGGATCACTGGACTATGAAGCGGAGAAAGTTTACCAACTTGGAATACAAGCTGTGGACGATGGCATGCCTGCATTGGTTGGACGCACCGAAGTTCTTGTTGAATTAATTGACATTAACGATAACGCGCCTGAGTTAAAAATAAGTTCGCTATCCATTGAAATACGCGAAGATGTTACAAGTGGGACTGTGATCGCTATAATAACCGCAATCGATCGTGACTCCGGCGAAAATGGACAAGTGCAATGTCAGTTGCAACCAAATATTCCTTTTAAACTTCAAAGATCTTCAGACAAACAATACAGTTTAGTGGTCAGCGATACGCTGAATCGCGAAATCTCTCCTTTCTATAACATCTCCATTTCAGCCTGGGATGCAGGGTCACCCCCTCTTTCTACGAATAAAACTATCCACATTTCGGTTTCTGATATAAACGACAATGCGCCACAATTTACACAGTCGTTATATCATGTGTTCTTGATGGAAAACAATGCTGCTGGTGCATCAATATTTGCCGTTACCGCTTTAGATCCTGATTTGGGCAAGAATAGCGAGATATCGTATTTCTTATTGGGCAGTTTCATGCATAAAACTGGCGACTTTCGTGTTGGCTCCGAAAGTGGGCACATTTACGCGCTCCGCTCTTTTGATTACGAAATACAGAAAAATTTTCAGATAAACGTTCTGGCTCAGGATTGTGGAACTCCCTCACTGACCAGCACTACTCTCGTGAGTATTGTTATTCTGGACCAAAATGACAATATGCCAGTCATAGTATCACCTTCAAACGACAACAGTCCGTTTGTGATTGTACCAAAGTCTGCAAGTCCCGGATATTTGGTGACCAAAGTAATTGCTACTGACGCAGATTCCGGACAGAATGCACGACTTTCCTATCAGCTCATTGAAGCTACTGATCACAGCGTGTTTAGCGTGGGATTTACCTCTGGCGAAATTAGAACAATTCGAAAATTTAAGGAACAAGATGTTGTTAGACAGATTATTGTAGTTTCGGTCAGTGACAATGGACAGCCGAGCCTCTCCAGTACAGTCTCAATTCAGATTACAGTCCAAGAAAACGTTACTGAAAATACCTTTGAACAAAAAATCAAACCTAGAAATCCAGAATTATTTTCAGATTTAACTTTTCTGTTGATCATAATTTTTGGATTAACTTCCTGCATATTTCTGTTAATAATACTTTTTCTGATCATTGTGAAATTCAAACAAGACCGGAATATTTGCTGTTGCATGTCCAGAATCTGTTACTACGGACAGAGGAATTCAACCGATGCCCCTCAAAGTACAGCAGTTCCAACAGCAAATTTAAATTATCTAGATTCTGTTCAAACTCTGCCTATTCGGGAATCATATAATTACACCGTTTGCCTCTCACCGGAATCCTCTAAGAGCGATTTTTTGTTTTTAAAACCGTGTCACCCGAAGTTGCCTCCGGATGATATTAATATCCGTGACATCGAGCGTTAATGTAATGAATCAATAATTATTGCAATCAAATTGCAGTTTCTACATCTACACGTATGCAAGAAAAGAGAAATCCAACGTTCCACGTATGATGTTTTTTGGAGTGCTGCCTCGCCTATGCATCGGTCGAGGCGGACGAAAACTTTGCAGATGCAATGTCTGAAGTGCTACTTTGTGATTGGTATTAACAATAGAACATCTGCTGATCTTTTTAAGAGATTTAATCTTTACAGTTGAAGTACAGAAAATTATGACAGTAAATGCATGGTGACAGGAACAGCTTGCTATGGAACATGCTATTTTCAGCATCCTACACGCTATTTAGGTATTGTAGTTTGACCAGTGCTTCTCACGCAAAAATTCACATTTTTTGAGTAAAGTATCGTCATTTTATAAATATTCCAGTGTGATTTTAATTTTTCAGAACAAGTTAAGAAAACATGGCTGTACGCACAAAATTCTGATTAAGTTTGAAGAAGAAGAAAAATCGAATATGGAGCATGTCTCGGACTTTAGTTTCCTCGCGGCTGACGTGATTGCATTTACATGACAATTTTTCACCACTTTACGTAACAAGAAACTTTCCACTTTGGCCTAGAAAACATTCAAATATTCTTATCCCAGCATCTTTGCAGGAAGCCTATAACAAAGACTCATTGATGCTCTGGAAGACAGAAAAAAAAACACCTCGTCTCAATCTCATATGGGAACACCTGATTTTTGAAAATAGCGACCATTAGTTCTTCAAAATCCCACAGGCTGAAACTTTTGTATATAACAACCGTTAGTTCTTCAAAATCCTGCAGGATGAAACTTTCTCTCCAGATATAGAGTATGCAGGGTGGTTTGATCATAGAGTAGGATAATAGGTCGGCACAACATCGTGGGCCGAAGGGCCTGTACTGTGCTGTACTGTCCTATGTTCTATGTTCTATCTACCCTATCATATTCGTCAGAATCTTGGTTCAACGAAGTCAGCTCTTCACCTTCCAAACTCCAATATACTCCAACCTGCCCAAACTTCCTTTCTAAGACATTCGTTCATTACAGATATTACTTCTCTTAAAGGGCCATGAATGCATGGAATTAATTTTCCCTGATCGTGGTGGACACCAGAACCAGGAATGATTTTAAGGAGGAGATAGACAGATGTTTAATCATGTTTAATTAACACTGGGTTAATTGGTTACGGGAAGTGGATCCTAAAATGAAATTGAGGTCAAGTTGTGTCAGCCGTGATTATACTAAATGACACAGCAGGTTGGATGGGCTTTTTTTTTCCTATTCTTTCACAAGATGTTAGTATTGCTGGCTGGACCTGCACTTATTGCCCCTCCCCAGCTGATCTTGAAATGGATGTTGGTGAGCTGTCTTCTTGAACAACTGCAGTGCAGTGGCGGTGGGTAGACTCAAAATGCCGTTAAGGAGGGTGTTCCAGGATTCTGACTCATTGACAGGGACCGAAGAGCCATATATTTCTCAATCAGTATGGTGAGTGACTTAGAGAGGAATTTGCAGTTGATGGTGTACCCACGTAACTGCTGCTGCTGTCCTTCAAGATTGAAGTGGTCGTGGGTTTGAAAAATATTGTCTAAGGATTTTGGTTGAGTTGCCTATGTCTGCTAATAGTTTTTATGTTCTTATAGTACTCAATTAGCTTCCCAAAGTACTTGGTGTATTTAGTTTCGTTATCCATGACAATTGAATGTAGGCCAAATGGATCTTCTTTCAGCTTGGCAAGATATAATAAGCAGTGTGCCACAGGGATCAGTGTTGTGACGCTAACAGTTTATAAGTTGTATAAATTAGCTTGATGAGGCATGTAGGTATGTTGGAATGTAAGTTGAAGTACGTAAGGAGGCGGCAAAATATATTTAGGTTGTCTGAGGGAATGAGCAAATATGTGGCAAATGGACTATCATGTAGGAAAATTTAAAACTGCCCATCTTGGAGTACAAAGAAGCATGGTATCAATATGATGAGCGTGTACAGGATTCCGAGATTAAGAGGATCTGGTGTCCTCGACGATGAATGACGAAACGGTTAATGTGTAGGTATAGCAAATAATTGGCGAAGTAAATAGTATGTTATCATTTATTACGAAGAATATTGAACGTGAAAGGTTCGGATGAAACAAAGAAGTGAGGATTTCGATCATCTGAAGCAAGCAAAAAACAGGAATTGCTGGAGAAACTCAACAGGTCTGGCAGAGCCGTAAAGAGTAAATACATTGGATTTATCCGTCCTGTGGCCCTTCTTCATAAATGATAGCAGCTAAGAAAATATGGCATTTATGCTGATAATGTAAGTATGTGGGGGAGAATGGGTGTTGGAGGCAGTGGGCAGAGAGGTGGAGAGGGAGCATAGAGAGGGAGATGAAAAGGTAGGCTGACAACGGAGTTGTTTCAGATGGGGAAGAAGAGATGCTAAAACAGAAATTGCTGGGGAAATTCAACAGTTCTGGCAATGTGTGCAGGCAGAAATCAGAATTTACATTTCAAATCCAGTGATGCTCCTTTAGAACTAATTGTAACAAGAAAAAGTACTATGTATGCTGAGGACAAGGGGGTGGGTGAGGTGGTTGGAAGAAGTAAGCAGATGGTTGAAGACGGAGCCCGAGAGAAAGAAAGGCAAAAAGATAGGTGATAGTAATCCAGGAAGGAGAAACGTTGATAATGGTGACAATAACTAAGTGAAAATAGGTTGGTTGTGCTGAAAGCAGATCGATGACCGGAAGCTAAATATGGGATTATGAGGAATGTGAGTAATTGGTCATGGGTTGGCTGGATTGAAAATAACTCATTTCATGACAGGACCCGAGGTGTTGCTTAGATAATACACATATACGAAGGTGGTGCCGCTGTAAAATAGTTAAGCACGAATTTGAATCCTAAAGGCTGTAAGAAACCTAAGCAGAAGAAGTGATGTTACTCGTCCAGTTTGAGTTGAACCTCGCTAGATCACGTTAATAGGCCTGAGATTAAAAAAAACATTTTGCCCAAGGAACACGGCAGTGTGTTGAAGTGACAGGCAAATGGAAGCTCGGTCTTATTTTTTAACGAACAGAATATTTGTGTTCCTAAAAGCAGTCACCCAGTCCACAATTTATCTCTCCATTGTGGAGCACACTCCATTGTGAGCAGTAAATACAGTATGCCATGTTGGATGATGTGCGAGGAAGTTGTTGCTTAACTGGAAAGGTTTTGTCTGGGACTTTGGATAGTGAGGTGGAAGGAGATAAATGGGCAAGTGTTGTACCTTCTGTGATTGCATGGGAACGTGCTGAGGTGGTTTAAGGAGGTGTTGGGAGTGACAAAGAAATGTGCCAGGGTTTCCTACGGAAAGCGGTAACTGTGGAATGCTGACAAGGGAGGGCAGATTAATATTTGTCTTGTGAGGCATCCGCTGGAGGTGGCAAGTAATTAAAAAAAAACTAATGAAATATTTTGTTTTATCCCAAGAGAAATTTGTAATTAAAACGAGGAGGTTATGCCCTCTGTGATAAAGGGCACTGGTAAAATCGCATCTGGAGTACTGTGCACAACATTAGGGAACTTATTAAAGGCAGTATAGAATTCTATTGAAAACAGTTTGGATAACGCATAGTAGACTGAAAACAAGAAGTAGTTGTTTGTCGTATGAGGAAAGGTTGGATAGTCTAGGCTGCTGTGCTTGAGGTTAGAAGATTAAGAGTTTAATTGTTTGAAATGTGTAACATGCTGAGGAGTCTGGACAGGACAGATATTAGAACAGAGAACAGTGCAACACAGGAACAGATGCTGAAGCCCACCATGTCTGCACCAATCATGATGCCTAAAAAAAAAACTAGCCACATCTACCTGCATATGGTCCATACCTCTATTCTCTGCCTCTTCATGTGTCTGTCTAAATGCATCTTAAGCGTGCTATACTATCTGTTGAGAATGTCCCCCACCACTAAATTCAGCAGGGCATTCCAGGCACCAATCAGCCTCTCTGTAAAATAAAACATGCCTCGCACAACTCCTTTGAATTTTCCCTCTTTCACCTTAAACATATGCCTCCTAATATTTAAAATTTCCATCCTGGGAAAAAAAGGCTCTGACCCTCCACTCTTACCCATGCTTCTCATAATTTTATATACTTCTTCGGTGTCGCTCCTCAGACTCCGATACTCCGCTAAAAATAATTGGAATTTGTCCAGCTTCACGTTATAGTTAATTCACTCTAATCCAGGCAAAATCCTGGTAAACCTCCTTTGCACCCTCACAAAAGCCTCCACATCCTTCCTATAGTATGACGATTAGAGCTGCATACAATATTCCTAATATGGCCTAACTGAATGTTTATACAGCTGCGCATGACTTGCAAACTTTTATACTCAAATATCCTTACTGGTGAAGGCAAACATGCCATACGCCGTTATCACCTGATCTGCTTATGTTGCACATTCAAGACGCTATGGACTTGTACCTCAAGATTTACCTGTATATCAATACTGCTGAGTCCTGCCATTTAATATATACTTTCCTTTTGAATTCAGTCTCCCAAAATACATTAGCTCACATGTCTGGATTAAATTCCAGTTGGTATTTCATGTCCCAAATTTTGCACCTGATCTATATGCTGCTGCATCCTTTGACAAACTTCTTCACTCTTCACAGCTTCATCAAATTTCATGCCAAACGCAAACCACCTGCATTTTTATCCAATTAATTTACATGTGTTACAAAAAAAAAGCAGTCTCAGTGCTGATCCTTGTGGAACACCACTGGACAGAAAGCTCCAGTCAGGAGACAAACACCCTTCACGTCTGCACTACAAAGCCAATATTGTATCCAACTTAACTATCACCATGGATCCCATGTGACTTAGCCTCTGGACCAGTTTACCACGAGGAAACTTGTCAAATGCTTTAGTAAAATCCATATTCACAACGACCATCAATCTATACTAATTAATTATCTTTGCCACGTCCTCAATAAGTGCAATGAATTTTCTGAGAAAAACTCTCCCCCT